CTACCGTGCCGGGCCTGTGCTGTTCTATAAACTGTGCTTGTCTTGGTTTCTTACTTGGAAATTCTGGAATTTCACAACATGTTCCTAGGGAGAATGTGGAGGAGTGTCCTTGCTGCTTCATGGATGAACAGTTCTACTTCCCACTTCCTGCAAATTAACCACTGCATGGATAAGAACAATGCAAAGCATTCCCAAATTGGCTCATCCATTTTAGAACAAGGAACAAACTCCATTATAAAGAATATTGTACTTTGTTTCTGTGTAATGACAATAATAATTATACACACAGTGACGATAGCTAGGGCTGCATGTCAAACAGTCTTCTTCCATCGTTGAGGTTACTTGGGTCTTCACAGTCACTCTGAAATAGCAACTATTTTTACCACCATTTTACAGATTAGTGGTCTGAGGCATAAAAGTGGTTTAAACTACGTGCATGAGGACGCAGAGGGCCAGCAGTGAGACGCAGCCAGGCAGTGTGTCCCCAGAGCGGTGCTCGTGACCGTCCCACAGGCTGCTTCCCGGGAGCATTAGTCAGCCTACGTGCTGAGGACAGTGCACCTGCGAGCTTCCTAGAGACAGACAACCCGAGTCAACATCTAGAATGAACTCCTGCAGCACAGCCAGCATTCTTAGTCAGAATAAGCTTTGGGAACCGTTGTCTGTGGAGAAAGAAAGTAACGCAGAGGTGACTCCCACACTCACGGCTGGAGCTCGGCCTGGGCACAGAGCCCCACAGGCTCTTCCTCTGCCAGAATCTACTACTAAGCATGGGGCGTTATTCAGGCCAAGTCTTTAGAAGGCTTGGGGTGTTTGTGAGCATCACCTAAAGGGTTTTCTGCAGAAATTATTGTATCTAAGGTGCTCCACATAGAAGTGCCTGTGGCCACTGGGTTCTGGAGATGTGTTATTGATCTTCCTCTGAAGACACACAGTAGCTCAAGCCCCTTGGAACTCTCGACCCCCAAAACTGATACCTCTGTGATTATGGAATCACATAAAACTTTCTATTACATGTATTTATTTGTATAAGTACGACAGTCAGAGGCCAGCCTGCAGGAGTCAGTTTTCACCTTCCAGGGATGTGATTCCAAATGTACCACCATATCAAACACACACACACACACACACACACACACACACACACACACACACACACACACACACACACACATTTAAAAGCAAAAGACAGCCACCACTGCCTGGCCAAAACTATGGAGTATTCTAATCCTTAAAGTCCATGTTATGGAGCTGTAAGAGTGCTCATGAGCACATAGCCATTTGTTGCAGTGGTCTTGGGAGCTGCTGTGTGTCATAACCTTTTGTCCAAACAGCTTTACTTGGAAATGTTCATTGTAATGAGTTGTTGGTCTGGTTCAAGACCTCTGGCTTCTGGTACACCATCAATACTGGATCCACACTGAAACTCCTGCTGTTGCCCTGAGTCGTGGAGACTGTGGCTGTGGTTCCACAGCACCAGTCTCTTCTTGGGCTCCAGCAGCTTGTAGATGGGGTTGATGTTGGGGTGGGCCAACTCAAAGCCATGGATGTGGGCCTGGGAGGTAGTTGAGCTGAAACCAACCCTCAGGTGAGGGGAGGGAAGGAGCCAGCTCTCCTGCGCCCTAGCCAAGAGAGCCCACAGTGAGGGGTGGGGCTGGCTATCCTGAGTGCAGGGCCAGCTCTCCAGTGCCTAGGCCACTGGGCCAACCGACTTTCCTGCTTGGGGCAGGACCAGTTCTCCCTGGGCCAGCGAGGAGTGAGGAGTGGGGCCAGCTCAGCATGGCCTTCTGACTTCAACATGCATGTTCTGCATGGCCCCCAGTGATAACATAGGCCATAGACATCAACAGACCTCAGCTGCAGGAGGAACACAGACCCAGACATGGCTCTCAGCAGCAGTCTGGGCATGGCCATCACCATGGCCCTGGGTGGCAGGCTGGCTACTCAGATCAGTATGGCCCCTGTGGCAGCATGACCCTAGCACATCAACATGGCCTCAGGTGGCGGCCCAGACCCTGGGTATCCACACAGCCTTTGGTGGTAATAGGAGTCTCAGATATCAACACAGACCCTGGCTGTGGGAAGATCACAGACCCAGACATGGCCCTTGGCAGAAGTCTGAGTCAGGTCACCATGGCCCCGGGTGGCAGTGTGGGCCACCCACATCAGTCAGCTCCTCCCTGCCTTTGCTTCTTCAGTTCTGCCTCTTTCCACAGCACATGAACTATTCCACTTCTCTCTCTCTCTCTCTCTCTCTCTCTCTCTCTCTCTCTCTCTCTCTCTCCCCCTTTTCTTCACCAAATATTTGCTCATCATAATGATGCCCGCAAAGCACCTTGTGGACCTGTGGGTGTTCTTCACCTGCCAGAGCCAAGCTGGACTGGGAGGGCCTGTGGGTGTCTTCAGCGAGTCTGGGCTGAGCAGCACTTCGAGGGTCTCTGGATTGTTTTAGATGCTCAGAAAGGCGGTAGCTAAAATGTTCTCCAGGGGGGACATTAATTGAGGCTAAGAACACACAAACAACAGTGACCTATATCATTATGAAAAGCTCACATGTCCAGGCAGAGGGATCACAGTAGAGCAGGGGCACAGGAAGGGGACACACTAAGTGGCAGGCTGGAAAACTTAACTCCCTAGTTATTAATGAGTTCTTTGAGCAAGCACAATGAGCAGGTTCACAGCTTCCTTGACAGTCTTTGAGGGGTATCACTGCCCACTCCTGGCAACTTGGGAATTCTCATCTTAACTATTCTTACTACAACATTTTCCCAAGAGCCAGAAGAACATGAGGTAAACAGAGTCAATACAATGCTGTGCACACAGCCCTCTTCTAGGTAGTCTCTGGTGCTGCCCACACACTCTTTTCTCAGACATTTCATGGAAAGAGTGTGGTGATATTTTATTTGTGCTGAAATGTGGTGATATTTTATTTATATGTTAATAAATAAAGTTTGTATTTGTAAAGGACACAAATAGCCAGCCATAAACAGAAGTCAGGTGGTGGTAGCACACGCCCTTAATCCTGATCACATGGCAGGCAGGTGTGTTAAAGGACACAGCCAAGTGTGGTAACCCACGCCTTTAATCCCAGTACCAACCATAGAGACCTGGAGGTCTGTACAGACAGGCAGTGATGAGGAAGTGAGGTGGCTGGGCTAAGAACCAATGGGAGGGCAGAACAGCAAGGCAATAAAGGCACAGGTTAGACAGGAAGAGGCTGGTTCTCTGGGGAAGCAATGGTGAGCTAAGCGTGGTGAGCTAAGGTTAGTTGGCGGCTATTTCTCTGATCTCTACGGCTTTCACCCCTGTATTTGGCTCTGTGTTTCTTATTTAATAAGACTGTTTAGAAATTCATCTACAAAAGAGCATTACAGAAAGAAACAAGAGCAGAGATGACGAAATGCACAACCCGAAGAGAACAGAAAACCAGAAAGCCCCCCTGCCCCATGTTGACAACTCAATAAAAACTCTCACCTGTTATTTCTTAGATATTAAGAAGAAACACATCTAGAATATCTGTGGATGTATTATATGCGATAAAATAGAACACACGCCCAACTTACTTATTTTATTGGGATGGCAATAAAATGGCAATAAAATAAAATAAAAATAAAAATGGCAAACAACTGCCTAAATTTTGTCTCCTCAGGGTAGTATCAGCGTGTGGACTTTTTGTATGTATATGTAGCTATGTTGTACGCATGTGTGTAAACATGTGTGTGGTGGGTGCTGCCCTGTGCATATATGTGGAGACCTGAGGACAGTGTCAGACGTCTTCCTCTGCTGCTTCCATCTTACTTTCTGGAGACCAAGTCCCTCACCGGACCTGGAGCTTATGGTTGCAGCCAGAGTGCCTGGCCAGGGAGTCCCTGGGATCTACCTCTGCTCCACCTGCTGTTCTGAGCTTACGGGCAAGTGTTGCTCAGCCTAGCTTTTACAGGGGTCCTGGGGATCCAAACTCAGGTTCTCCTGTCTATGAACATATATTTTTACCCATGCAGCCATCTCCCCGGGCTCAATATGGGGGTTCAACAATCTCTAGAAAGTGAAGTAAGTATTCCTTGTAAAACATCTACTATAATATAATCTTCAAAATTTGAAAAATTAAGAGGAGAAGTTTCCCAAATAAAACGGATTTCTGTCTGTCTATATATTATTTCAGTTTAAGTTAAATGTCCTGGAGAGTGCCACATCATAGTGTGGAGAAATGTGGAACCTGGGCTGTGGGATCCATGCTGTGCTTGATCTAGACACTCACAACAACCATCAATGTGGAACCTGGGCTGTGGGATCCTTGCTGTGCTTGATCTAGACATTCATAACAACCATCCAGTTGTTTCTATCTCAGTGAAGATTCTAAATTCACAGAAATTTAGAAACATGCTGTTTCCACAGCAGCAGATAAAGAATAAAATGCAAAGATTTTTTTTACTAGTTTTTAACAAGGCTTATAGAATTTATCCTCCTTGTTAGCAGTGATTTTTGCTCTTTAGGAGAAATCTCATTTTATTCATCTTTAAATGTACTTAGTCATATGAATTTTGAAAGTGGGTAATTGTGACATTACTATAAAACTGCACATTCTTATGGTAATGCAGAATAATTCATTTTTAATTTTTAATGCCAAAGAGAGGCCAAACTATGGTTCAGGATTAGACAACAGTGATCCAACTACATGTATTAAACATAAAAATAAAATATAACTGCATAGAGATGTTTTCAGATAATCCATTAGTAATCAAAAACACAGTATAACTTTTAAAGTGACTTAACTTTTAGGGCTCAGATGTTGAGAATATGGCCTTTAAGTGTAAATGGAACAGTTATAGCATACATGTGGTTAGTGTGGTGGCCTGGGGGGGCATAACAGAGATCACAACTGTGATCCTATGTCAACCTACTCAGAAAACCGGAAATAAGACGTTCTTCTGTGCTACATCTTTTATCAATTATTCTAATTTATGAACATCTTAACTGCCAAAAAGGGGTAAATGGCCTACCTGTAACCGACATACAGCCCAACGGTGCGATCAAAGTGATGGGGGCGACTCCATAGGCTGCGAAATTCCCCACCTCTCCTGTGGCCATCAGCAGGACTCCACTCCACCAAAGCACACTCTTAAAGTATGGCTTTGGGTGCTCTTTCTGGGCCAAATGAAGGTGAGAATATTTCTGGAAGCAAATAAATAGAAAACAGAACATAAATAGAAAGCATTTCTACTCAATTAAAACTTGCTGTCAAATTTTACTTTATTTTTTGAGGCAAGTTCTCACTGTATATCCTTGGTTGTCCCAGCACTCACTATGTAGACCAGGCTGGCCTCATACTCTCAGCAATCCCTCTGCCTCTGCCTCTTAAGTGCTGGGGTTAAAGGCATGCACTACCAAGTCCCACTTGCTTGGAAAGTTTAGCTATCTGTCACTTTACATCAGAGCTTTCTCATTTATTTGCTGACTATTATGGCTATCTGTCTGTCCCAAGCAGAAGCATTTCTCTGGGGTCTTTTGTGCAAACACACTGATTTTTCTCTCACAACTCTGTAACGTGTACTCTCATCACTACCTGAAGGCAAGCATCCTATAGAGGCGAGGAGCTTTTTAGAGCACTTGCCGAGACAGGTTATTTTAGAATTTAAAATAGTTCCAGATCCCAAAAGAAACATTAACAAGATGAAGGCAGTGGGGTATTAAAGAGAGTGTTTTTAGAAGGGATTCAGATGTATGGGTTGAAGCATCTACTACAATTAATATAGCAGAGAAAATGCAAGTTGCTGGGAAGTGTGGAGGGTAGACTCATTCATATCTGGTCTAAATATTTCTTTGTATTTAAAATATAAATGCTGGGCTGGAGAGATGGCTCAGTAGTTAAGAGCACTGGCTGCTCTTCCAGAGGATCCAGGTTCAACTCCCAGCACCCACATGACAGCTCACAACTGTCTGTAACTCCAGTTCTAGGAGATCTGACACCCTCATACCAATGCACATAAAGTAAAGATAAACAAAGTATTAAAATATAAATGCAATATGCTAGAGGTACAGTTCAGTGGCAGCGTGCGTCATGAGCCTGCACATGACCCTGGGTTTCATCCCCAGCACTGCAAAATGAAGTAAGCCCATGCATTCCAAGGAACTCATTAAGTACATTTTCCCTAGATTTTAGGAAAACTGAGCATATTTCCTTAGAAGACTAGTGGACTGGTCCAGATCATCTTTAAAAAATAGAGGTCTAGAAGAAAACACGGGACAGTAAAACAACTCAATTGTTAATTAGCATGACACAGAGTACATGTGGGGATCAGAGCACGGCTCAGGAGGCTGGTTCTTCCTTCTACCACGTGGGCCCTGAGCTAGAGGCCAGTGCCTTACCCACTGAGTCATCTTACTGGCCCTAAAGCTCTCTTTACAAATGCTATAGTTTGGTCTAAAAGGTCCCACAATGGGATAGCTTCCTGTCACCATTTCCTAAAGAGACAGGATCTACTTAAGAAGTTAGGTACTGGGGGCGTGTCCTTGATGGGGGCACTGTAACCTCTCCTAACGGGACCTCTCCATCCTGTTTCCTGGACACAGGAGGTAAACAGGTCTCTTCTGCCATGTGTCCTAGCCACGATGGACTCACGGCCACAGGCCAAACGGAACAGGACAAAGTGGACAGGACTCCAAACAAATCTTTCCTTTACCAGATTTTCTCGGGTGCTTTGTCACAATGACAGATCTCAGTAAAATAAAACATGATTTATTTCCATATTTTTCAGGAATAAATACGTTTCTTAGAAATTACTAACAATCATATTAGGCTATGGTCTAATAAAGCTTTACATAAAATTATATAGCATTCAAGGAGATATTTTGATATTCAGACCAATTTTAATTCAGCTTTAGAAACTATATTTGGTTTGATTCTGTTGCAAAATGACTTACTAAATGATTTAAAATTTAGATTGAATTCATGGTTTGGTTTAAAATTCAGATTTCATTCAGTTTTTAGTTTAGCAACTGCAGTTCTCTGGGGTTTCTAATTCAGTTTAAGTTCTTACTGTATATCCTACATTTTTCAAGACCTTTAGTCTACATAGTTCGATCACAAAATATAATTTTTTATTATTTTTCTTCTTTCTTTTTTAATGGATGAAAGAGCTGCAGAATCCAAAGTTCCCTACCCATGACAGGTATACTATACTCCCGATAAAACTGCAGTCAGAAAAGTAGAGTTTTTCTTACCTGGATATTTAGAGAAATGCTGATCACTAAGTTTCCTAAAATAGCCAGCAAAACTCCAAAAAGGTGAACCTGTAAAAGGAAATATTTTCTCTAAATGGCTTTAGAAACAGTACTTGTAGGATATTTGGCAGTGGCGGGTGGTGGCGGTGGTGGAGGTGGTGGTGTGGTGGTGGTGGTGGTGGTGGTGGAGGCGGTGGTGGTGGTGGTGGTGGTGGTGGTGGTGGTGGTGGTGGTGGAGGTGGTGGTATGCTGCTGTATTAACTGACTTACTCATCTGCTTGGCTCTGCTTCACCTACATTTGCCAAACCTACCCTGGGAATAACATCTGATTAAGGTGAGAAAGTAACCAAATACTGGTTTTTGGAAATAACTCAGTCAGGATCAGTGAGATGGCTGAGTGGGTAAGGGCATGTCCTGGACATCTCAACAATCTGGCTTTGATCCAGAGAACCCACGGTGAAAAGAAAGATCTGACTTCTGAAAGTTGTCCTTTGACCTCCACACACACACTGCCCATGCATGCTCTCATGTACACACACATATACTACACACACATACACACACACACACACACACACACACACACAGCCATTGAGGAAGACATCTGAGGTCAACCTCTGGTCTCCATGTGCACATGCACACATATGCATGTGTATTTGTACACAAACATAAGCGTGCACATACTACATGCACACTCACACATACACAGGTGTACTTGACACTCTCATCCAGGCACAAATGTGTAAAATTCCTAAGTATAAACTAACAATGGTACAGAGAGCTTCTCTTAGTCTACAGAATGTAACTTCCAGCTAGGTTCAAATTCCAAAGAAAGAGCTATGTGAATTTCAAGTGAACATCAAGACCTCCTTTTCAGATGCAAAGTGTCTTTGAAGTTTTAGAATTCTATTAGCCAAGCCAAAGTAAAATTTTGTATTTAAAAAATGAAGCAGGAAAGTTGAAAACTCATTTTACAGTTGATATATAATATGGTCTCTAATCAGTTAAGGTTTTGTTCCTAATAAAGGCACTGGGTGGTAATTTTGCTCACTGTTGCTCATGGAGAATGCTTGTATCACAATACAATGCACTATTTCCATGATTCTTACTTACAATTTAATGCATTTTCCAATAATTAAGAAAACAAAGAATCAAAAGAAAGTTAGCATTGAATGTATAATTATGAAAATCTTCCATAGCTATAAAAGTAAATTGCTGAAGAGAAATAACCGACTCCAAAATCCTTTAAATCGTTTAAAGAACCATTCAAAAGACATCAGGCTGGGCATTTTAAAATTGGTGGCCTGATTTGGCAAGGGTTTCTTGTATGTGACACCAAAATTTCATACAATAAAAAAATATATATATACAGGTTGGACTTCATCAAGATAGAAACCTTTTATTGTTGGTTTTTGTGGTGATCCCTGTTTTCTGTCATCTGCTAGGCAAACACTCCTTCAGAGCTATAGGCCAAGCCCTCACATCAGAACCTCCTGTTCCTCAGATAACTCTCTCAACATACTGAAGAAGCAAACAGCAGAACAGAAGGAATATTTATAAATCCTACTGCATTAAAAACCCCTACAATCCAATAAGGCAATAAATGCACAAGAGTGGAGCATATTTTTCCAGAGAAGACTACAAATCAAAACCACAGTGCTCTACTACTGCACACCAGGTAAGATGGCCACAAATGCAAATGAGACAATAACAAGTGTTGGCAAGGATGAGATAAACAAGGACCTTTACATACTACTGGAAGGAAGGCAAAAATGATACAACCACTTTGGAACACACTTTGACAACTTTTCAAAAACATGGAATTTCCATTTGTTAGAGTAAGAGAAATGCAGAAAATGTTTACTCAAAAACGTGTAGAAATCCCTATTGTAGCATTACTCATAATAGTCAAAAGTGGAAATGACCCAATGAACAAAATGTGGTGTGATCATTCAATGAGGCACTACACAGCCATAAAGACGACTAAAACACACTGTAGAGCAGATGAATTTTGAAAAGTGTGTGCTACATGGAAGAATCCAGTTTGAAAGATCATGTGTTCCATGGCTTCATTTATTTCAGTGGTTGCCTGAAGGAGGGGAACCAGGGAGATTTGACAGCAATGGGGGGAATCTTTGTAAGGTGACAGAATTTCCTGAAAGTGGCTATAGGATGGATGTATAACTGGACAAATGTGCTAAGTCATCAATGGATTGTCCGTTTGATATTGCCAAATTATATGGGGTGTGAATTATATTTCAATAAAATTGTCTCCCCTATCTATTTCCATTAATCTTGTGTTCAAGCCCTTACTATCAATTGCCAAGGGATTAATATTAAAAATCTACCACCAACATGAATTTATCTTTTCCTTTAAAATCTACTGAGTTTTGCTTTACATATGTTAAGGCTCCATTGCGAGGTATAGCTCAGGGCTGTTTTATCTTCCCACTTAATTATTCTTTCTATCATTATGTACTGAACTTTTCCTTGCAGTCTGTTTTACCTGACATTAATAGATTACAGCTACTTTCTTCTGATATTTCCATCTCCATCATTACTTCACTTTCAATATTTCTGTATCATTCTTTAAAATTATAAGTTGACAGAATTATTTGTATCTGTTGTGTAAAATATGCTTTGAATATGTATACAAACTGCAAAATCACCAAATCTACTTAATTAACATATGAAAAACATCCGTACATCTTGGTGGTGAGGACAGCCTCCATCTATCTTTTCCAACAGCACACTTTATGACTAGCAGCAGTCGTCATGTATAGAGTAGATCTCTTGAGCTTATTCCTTTCACGTAACTGAATTATATTTTGGCGGAGTTTTTTTTCTCTTTTCTCATTACTCTTCTGATCAGGAAGTTCCTAATTCTATTCCCCACTTCCCTTTTTGAGACAAGGTCTCATGTAAACCAGGCTGGCCTTGAACTCACAATGCAGCTGGTGATGACCTTGAAATTCTGATTCTCCTTCCTCCACTTCCTGGGTGCTGGTAGTGCAGTAGTGCACCACCACACTCAGTTGTGTGACGGTGAGGACAGGATCCAAGGCTTTGTGCATGCAGGCAAGCACTGTGCTCACCACGCAGGCGAGCACTCTGCTCACCACGCTTACATCCCAGTCTTATTTCACTCCTTTAGCAATACTAATAAACTAAAAATTCTTCTTGAAATAATTGTAGATTCATATAGTAAGTTGCAAAGAATTCCACATGTAGCCATGTAACATCTTACACAACTAGAATAAAATATCCAACACCAATAAATTGGCCTTTTATCAGTTACGTTTGCACTTACTTGTGGGTTCTGTAACCACCACAGTGAAAATACTCATCAGTTCCAAGCCTTTCTCCTGCCTCTGCCTCCCTCACAGCACCCACGAATCCATTCCCCATTTTAACATATTTCACAAATGTCATGCAAGTGGAATCAAGAAGTATGTCCACTTTTGAAACTGACTTTTGTTCGTTGAACATAATGTCAAGTTTTGCCCAAGGACGTTGTATCAATAGCTCACTCCTAATTGTTGAGTGCACATCAGTGTGTTTAACCATTCACTTGTTGAATGACGTTTGTATAGTTTCCAGTTTAGAGCTGTTATAAATAAAGCTGCTATGAATGTTCGTGTACAAATTCTTCATGAAAATAAGTCTTAATTTTTCTGGGATAAATGCCCAAAAATGTAATTGCTGGGTTGTGTGGTGAGTCCATTTTTAGCTTGGCCAGGAACTGCCAGACTGCTTTCCAGAGTGGCAATGTCTGAGTAATCCGGTTTCTCCACAAAGTCATCATGTGCTCTTGACATACATTCTAAACTTCATCAATATTCTCTCCTCTGTAGCATTATTGAAGCTTGTACTTATTTTAACTGCAATCTGTTCTCTGCTATTTTATGTGCTGCTGGTTACTATGATAGGATATTGTCTAGTTCTGCTTGGCTTGTGTATCCTTTAATTAGTCATTGCAATTACTTTTTAAATAAAATTTATTTTTAGAAGTTTTAGGTTTACAAAGAGCAGAAGCCACCAAGCTCTCCTATGTGCCCCCTACTTCAGTAACATGTATATTTCCCCATCATCAACACTCTCCACAAAACCAAATGGTACATCTGTTACATTTCATGAATACAACACATTATCATCCAAAGTCACAGTTTATGTTTGTTTGTTGTGGTTGATTTTTGTTGTTGCTAACCTTCTTTGGGTTTCAGCAAATGTGCGGTGTGTGTTAGATCATGGTACTATCTTTTTAAAGTCATCCTAAGAGGCCAGATATCACAGCCTGAAGAAATTAGGCCCCCATCCTCAACTCTCTCTCTCTGAGACATTAAGAGTTCTTCTGTGCTGTAGATTTTATGCTCATAATTTATGACATTAACCAGTACCCAGCTCCTCCATCCTTCTTGTCAGGTAGATTATCTCAAACCTAACTGTGTGGTTTAAAGCATCCTGCCAGCTCCCTCTACCAACTTACACAAGAGATGCCCCAAATGGCTCTTTTCTCTGCCCCTCCCCCATCATCCTGCCCCTGGTGGGTCTCACTCTTACTTTAAGCTTTTCCTTTAGTGAAGCTCCACTTCATTTTTTAAAGGGGAGCTTCTCCACTTTAGGGTCCGTTATGCTGTTTCTGATATATTGTACTCTTCCCTTCTATAATGCTCATCTAATTCAGGGCCTGATCATAGTCTGGACCCTTCCTCCTGACAAAGCTACTTCCAGAATGACAATTATGTGTTGACTCCTTTCAGAACCAACAGCCACGCCACTTTATATAACACTACATGTCCACCATTATAGAATCTACTGGGTAGTTTCACTAACCTAAAATCCTTCTCTGCTTGCTGGGTTTCAGTTTTGCTTTGGTCCCAACCATCCTTTCTATGCCCCATTCCTCTTTCTTGGAAGGGAAATGTTTACTCAGTGTCACTGTATATTGGAAGTATGTAATCTGCATTTTGATTTTTGCAGGGGCTCACAGTTCACAGATTGCCTTGAGTCTTGGAGCGGACCTTAATTTGAGCTTTTGAACAACGTTACAACTGTTAAGACTTGGGAA